TGGGCAGACACCCCAAATGCGCGACCCCTGTCGCTGGCTGTGGGGGGAGCCCCGGTGGGAAGCACGCCTCATTTTGCTGCGGCTGCAGCAGCAGCAGCAGCAGCAACACGAGTCCTTCCCAGCAGCAGCAACAAGCCGCCAGCAGCACAGATCAAGCTGCACATTCCCTAGGCACGAGAAGCTGAGGAGCGCGGCTGTGCGGAAGAGCCTTTGGCGCGCTAACACTGCTGCTGCTGCTGCTGCTGCTGCTGCTGCGCTTGATGGTTGCTGCCAGCAACCAGTCTCGCTTGCAAACTTTGGGTAGCAGCTAAAGCTTCAAACGAAGTTGCGCACGTACTGCTGCTGCTGCGGCTGCTGCTGCTGCTGCAGTCGCTGCTGTTGCGCCTCTCAACAAACTGAGAAGGTGGTGCAGCTATTGCTGCAGCAGCTGCCGCCTTGCATTGACGGCGTTCGAGCTGCAGCTGTATTGTTTTTGCTGCTGCTGCTGCTGCTGATTCTGCTGCTGCTGTTGCTGCTGCTGCTGCTGCGGGGCACTCCTAGGTGCGGCGCCACCGTGGGGAACCTCGAAAGCCGCTCCCCTCGCAATATTCGCTGCCTGTGTAGTGCAGCAGCAGCAGCCACAGCAGCAGCAGCACAGGCAGCAGCAAACGTCAGCAGCAGCACGCCGCCACCAGCAGCAGCAGCAGGAAGCCCTCGCCTGCACCTTGGAACTTGTCTGCAGCAACCAAAGTAGATTTTCGGAGGAGGCAAAAAAGGAGAAAGAGCGTGTTCGGGATAACCCACCGTCAAGCACAAGCCCTGCTGCTGCTGCTGCCGCTGCTGCTGCTGCTGCTTGGGGGGTCGCTGGTGCTGCTTGATTTGTGTAGGCCGGCAGCAGCTGCTGCTCTTCTCTCTAGCCCCTTCTCTCCAGCAAAAGGAAACGCCCTTATAGCGGTGACTGACGCCCCACAGCGCTGGGGCCGCTGCAGCGCCAGCTGCTGCTGCTGCTGCTGCTGCTGCTGCAGCTGCTGCGGTGGCCGGCAGGAGAGCTGAAGCCGGC